AATGTAATTAAAACCGTTTTGTTTTTGTTTGGAAAAATTTATTTATTTTCTTTATTATGTATATTGTTATGTAGCAAATATAATATATAATTTTTTGCAAAAAAAACTCCTTTTTACAACGAAGGATATATTTATATTCAAGCTTATGCAAGAATTTTTCTCCCAGCGCAACAATCTATTCTAGTGCGTACGCGTTTGGTCTAGCCGACTGGTATTTCCATTTGAAGTATACCGAATACGTGTTGGTTTCGTGTAAGATCCATTCCGAGGTTGAACGTTATTGCTTTGGTCTTAATTGCGTTGTCCTTTTTCATCAAATTACAACAAGCGGCAACTTCCTTTCGGTCGTTTGTTTTATCACGTTTACTACCCGCATGGGACCGCAACGTCCAATTTCGCTCTTTTATATTTCGCGTTCTACAGGGTGTTGCCAACAAAGCCTTATATGCTGCTCGTTATCGCTATCGACCGATTTTTGACAAAAATCTTTTTAATAGACAGATATCTGACCAGAGAATTGAACATGGAGTGCTGCATGGCATACATAGACCATAGATATATAATCCAGATAGATGATATTGTTCACATTTTAAGGTGATAACCAAGGAGCGAAAAAAATTCAATCGGAAAACCCCAATATATGCCCATTTAAATGCATAAAATTGTCAGAATATATGCATGAAATGAAGAAAAATTCAAATATGCATTTTTATTATATGAAAAGTTATGAACATTAATGTTATGTTAAATAAAGGATGGACTATTATTTTATAGCTAAACTGATCTTCAGAAATCCTATAATTTTTTACCTGTAACATAGACCTGTAACATAGACCAAAACAAAGTAATCTTACAGCAACAAAATATTATTTGCTATTACAAAAAAAATTAATAAAACAATTAATAATTCAATACTCCCATTGATACATTCACATAATGGCAACTTGCACAATATGCTATTTATAATTTAACAATCTGTTGCAGTTATAAAAACAATTGATAGCTAAAGGTGTTTAAAATTTTTCGAAATGAAAATTCTGTCTTTTATCAAACATCTTTAAAAATTGAAAATTCGCTTAACATCAACACAGGTTATCGGACAGTATTTTAGTTTTGGAATTAAGTACTAATTTATACAAATCTAGTTCTCTTTCGAAATGAGTGAAATTGCCTATAAAAACTTCTGAAATATTTTTTAAAGATTTTCAAGTCTATTTTTTCATTAGTAACATAATTTTCTTTTATAACCGCAGCCCCAACTGTGTAAAAGAAACAGATAGTTTGTCTTCATAAATATTATATTTTCTTTCATTGTTGGGTTAAAAAATGGTATATTATGGAACAAGTGCGGTAAACGGCATTTGAGTCACAAATTTATTTGTCACGAACGGAGCGAGAGTTTAATAAACGAGAGACTTCAAAAAATTACCAAACGTGTGGAATACTATAATTTTTCTACCACCGTTAATTGTTGGGTACATTTTTGCAAAACAACACTAATATATTCACTGACACGATCGTCAGACTTGACAAACGTCATAATTCAAGCCGTGCGGTAATATCTCCGAAAACATCCGATTGCGCCCAAACCCGTGCAGCAATTGTTGACAAATGGGGTAAAAATCGGAAACATATAACACGGCAACGTAGCCTTTTGTTAGAATTAAGACAGAAGAAGAAGCGAAAAGAGTTCGTAAAATGGTGGAAATAATAAAATAAGTATCGTTGTGTTTTCTGAAAAAGGTGTTTATTCCCACAAAACGATCAATCGTTTACCACGACAACTCTGAAAAGGTTATGGGCTCAGAGTAGTTTAAGCGGTTGAATTAAAAAAAAACAAGTAAAACAAACGGTTTGTGCATAAAACCATACAAACATGGCTTTAAAAATGACGTATGAAGAATTATTACAAATAACAAAACTATCAAGCAAGGAAGATTTCAGAATATGGAAATTTCAAGTAGATATAACCTTAAAAGCAGCGGGAATATATGAAGTAATATCACCAAGTTTGCAGACAAACGCAACAACGTATAATAATCTCGACCATTTCGCAGACAGCTATGACGCACATCATGGACTGTACTACAAGTATAGATATGTATGACAAGTTGATTAAAATATATGAAGGCGATACATAACGATTAAAATGTAAACTAATGCAAGAGTTTTTTAGTCTAACATTTAAGAAGAGTACAAACATGTCAACATTTCTAAGTGACATACAAAACTTAGTACACAAATTTTAAACACTAAAATGCGATATTGATGATGATACGGTCATATCACGAATATTTTCAACACTCCCAGAAAAATATAAATACTTTGTGAGTGCTTGAGAATCAACTGGAAAAAGTGAAAAATAACTAAAATATCTACTTTTAATACTGTTATTGAAAAAGAGAGATTCAAAGAAAGACCCGAAGAAAAAAGAAGTTGCTTTCACAACAAGTGAAAAAAGATGTCGTAATAGCAATAAAATTGGGCATGTAAGGAATCAGTGCAAAAATAAAACCAGTCAATGGGAATTAACAAGCAAGCAATGTAGCATTTGCAAAAAAACAAACCATGCAGAGAAAGATTGTTTTTTTAGGAATAAAAACGATAAAAATAAAAAAAGAAAATAAAACAATGAATGGAACAACAAAAACGCCGATTTGGCATGTATGGTAAATGGAAAACAAATTAACGAGAAATTACAAGATGCGTGGATTATGGATTCAGGTTGCACTTCACACATGACCAACAATAGAAGTATCCTCAGCACTTCAAGAGTTGAATTAAATGAAAAATCGGCAAAAAAGGACATCAACATGATAGTAAAAGGGCAGGGAACAATAAAATATGAAGAATGTTCATTAAATAATGTGAAATTTATTTCAGAACTCTCAAAAAATGTATTATTCATTAAGGGAATTACCAAAAAAGGATTTGAAGTTACATTTACTGAAGAAAAATTAAAAATTACAAAAGATAAAATGAAAGTTATACAACGCAAGAAAAATGACGGGTTATACATCCTACAGTTTACAGCTTTAGATGAAGAAAAAGCATTTGCTTCTACAACAAAAAGAGGAAACATGCATATTTTACAGAAAATGTCTACAAGGATGGAATTGACCATACATAAAAGCAATGGGAAAATTCTGTGAAATATGCAGATGCAAAACTTTAAAAATGGCGTCCAAAACACATTGAATTTGCGTGCCATTTGTGTCACCGGACGTTTCCGCTACAGCTTTTGAGTTTACACAAATTGTCAACACGCTCCCGCTGCCGCTAGGTGTCGGTACCGCTTTCGTGCGTTTAGTAAAATGGATGAAAGTAATGTAAAATTGGTTATAGACACGGGGTAGTAGGGAGGAAGCTACATACACACGTAGCGACATCTGTGGCCGATTGCTAAACTATTGCGGCTTATCCCTTAAACCAAAATGTTTGAACAGAAAAATCATCGAAATTAATAACTGTTATAAAATTCTTGCAAACGTACAGGATAAAACTGTTTGGGTTACCTTTTACAATGTTTCACACTAATAGATATTTTGGGAATGCTAAAGTCAAAAAACCACACATGAAGAAATTTGATAAGATAATTAACGTGGTACATTATTTTTTAGCCGAATTGATAATTAAAAATCGATTTAAATATTCGGTTGATTTTTCATTTCATTTCGAGTTTATTCGATCATTTTACCGGCTGGGTGCTAATTGGTAAAAATGTCCGTGGGAGAGTACAACAGATTTGTGACACCATGTGGGCGAATCAAGAATTATTAATGATGTGGCACCGAAATGGTTGTCACATGATATATTGTCCCCAAATTATACCACATTCTAATCGTCGAATCTAAATAAACACACAACCTGGCACTCGTACATCACGACCTTTCACTCGAAGAAAAGTGAAGAAACACCGCAACATGTAGGTCCGTGTAGGTAGCATTTAATTTACATTTTATAGGGATCTTTTTCTTTTGGGTTCAATTTTTTTTTACTCGTGATAATTATTTGCAAATTAAATTTAAATATTAATACATCAATTTCCCATCTTACACGATTTGATTCCGAACTTGATAAGTATGCCGTAAGCTGGCACTGCCTGCGGATCGTAACCGACAAGTTTCGACCTAGTCACAATAAAGCGAAGAGGAGAACATTTTTCAGCAGGAAAAAATAAGGAATTACAGAAAACAACGACAGGCAATTATTAAATCTATGAAATCAGATTCGACACTAATGATGTTGGAAAATGGTTGGGTTCACTCAAATGATTCACGTGAAATAAACGCGCCATTAAAAAGATAAAGAAAAGCTATTTTGCATTCTGCCTCTAAAGATGGATTCGAAATTGACATTGTCTGCGAAAAATATTAATTTCAATTACCATGACCCGAACGCTAATTTATTTGAATATATTTTTGAATATATATAATAGCGTCATTGTAATGGACAATGCAAGTTATTACAGTAGACAGTTGACTAAAACTCCTTCCCTCATGTAACACAAAAGCAACAATCCAAAACTACATGTATAATAACATTTATTTTCACAATTATACCAAAAAGCAATTAATTGAGGTTCTCTACAAAGTTTGAACCTACAAAAGGAATACGTCTGTGATAATTACTGAAAAAATCTAGGGCATACAGTTTTAAGACTTTCACCTTACCACTGTATATTTAATCCCATTGAACATGTTTGGCACCAACTGAAATTTGCCATTCGTCGTAACAATGATAGCGATAGTGATGGTGATATATTATGTGAATAATTTTAAGTAATTTAAGTAGGCAATAAAAATAATTTGTAATTTTATTTTAGATTTAAACACAAATACATACATAAATATTGTTTAGTATCTTTCCTAACAAAACCCCAAATGATTAAAGTCTAAGCAAATTACGGACCTGTTCCGCCATATTTCATTCTTACAGCTTGCCCGGATCTTTCCTTAATTCGTATCAGTTAGTCACTTTCTTATATCTATGAACAGACTTTACTCTGGTCTCCCGTTATGCCGAATAAATCTTCCGCCTTTTACTAAAGATTTCCGTGGCGGGCGACAATATTGAGTCTACAAAAAACTTTTATAATCTTTTATAATTTATAATAAAAATAAATGTTAGGTATTATTGGGTCCATCGTAAAACACCAGAACGATCACTAGCGCAGGACCACGCAAAGAATTTCCAATTTTCTATTTGTTTTTAACGTGTTTTCTGATTCGTTGGGCTGTTTATACTATTTTGATTCTATTATTTAAAATTGGTAGTTTACTATGTCGTGCGGAAAGCCCAAACTTTCTCTATGGCTTCGGAGTCTTCTTCAAAAGATGCCATAAGGAAAAGGTTTGCTCATCGTCTTTGTCTAACTTCGTCCATATTTATTGTGGTATTTATGTTTTTAGAAGATAAAACTTCAGTTTTTTTAATATTTTAGCTAAAAAAACTTGAGCTTGTAATAGAGAGCATTTATAAAACAAAAGTGTTATATGTTTCGTAAAAATCACCAACTTTGTGAAAAACATTTTGAAGAAAAGTACACATTTACACGTAAACGCTTGTTTGACCAAGCCTTTCCTACAATTTTTTCCTATGTAGTACCAGAAGATTTTCGAGAAGATGTAAAGCACATAAATGCCACCTTAGATGATGCATGAAAAGAAGTATATTTTATCCGGTAACAATAATTTTGTACTTGATTTTTTAAAAAATTTTAGGGTTTTCAAAATAAAGTCCTTTTATCTATGTCGATATGAATTTCCAAACTCTGTCTATAGTTAGTCCAAAATATGATTACTTATTGAATTTGTAATCAAAAGCTAGATCATTTTTTAATTTACTGAAGTTAAGAGAGTAGCATTTGTCTATATTTAAAAGCAGTTGAATTCCTATGCACTAGTCATAAAAATTATCAAGCTCCTCCTGAAACTTGCGACAGTCGTCGATGCTCCTGACAGGCGCATACACCCTTTGGTCATCAGCATATGAAATAAATTTCGAAAAACGAAAAAAAAAATATTCCAGTTGATGTGTGGAGCAATGGATTCCATTCAATTACTGACATATTTCAAAAGTTATGTTATGGATGTAATATATGGAAGGTTAAGAGCGAACAATTGAACAATTTATAAAATATGTATATAATTTAAGAGACAATATTTGTTTTAAAGATTAATGCAAAGTATGTCCACAGTTTCCAGAATGTCACATTTGTTTTACAGTAATATGAAAAACATACTTGTTATTCATCCATGCAACGACTTTCTTCTGTCTCGTGTTATAAAATTATGCCCATTCAGGAGTCGTGATGGCACTTTATAGATATATGGAAGATGTTCTTGAAAAGGACGAGGATCCTTTGTAATAATCATGGTCCCAAATTTGATAAAATTGTTTAAGCACAAGTGTACGTTGTTTTGATAATTATTTGCATAATTATATTTGTTTTATATTATTTTTACATAAATTTATTGACAAACTTCAGTCATATCAAATAAGTACCAGTATTATTTGTATTGTAATATTTGTATTTGCGGTATTTGGCATAATACGAATTATTAACAGAAAGCCCATTTCACAAATACGTTATGAAATTTTTTTTTTTTGGCAACCTTTAACCTATAATTTTGACATTGTCAATACTAATCTTGGAAGTGAATAAACTGAACCCAAAACAAATGAACCATTATAGCTTAATTTCAGTTTGAAAGCATAAATCTTCCTTAATACAAAATTTATTTGTGTTTTCCTCTAAAACATACATATATTTATTACATAAACGTTCCAGTCTATAAGAAAATTCGACCGTTCATTAATTTCCCAGGAGAATCTAGAACTGAAAAAAGGAATTGCAAATTTCTGAAGGCGAATTGGAGATCCATTTGCGAAGCTGTCATCACTGAAATGCAAACTGTGACTTTGTTCTAACTTTATATAGCGTATTTATGAGCGCCTATAAATCCAAGTACTACGAAATATAGCGACAACCAATAAAATCAATTGAAAAATTGGACTACTGCACTTTTCTTGGAAAAAAAAGAGAAAATAGTTTTTCACCTAATGGACAACCACAAAAAGACAGCCTTCCACTACACAATACGTCCCAAATATTTTGCTGACTTATTTCGGTTACCGAGTATATAATATTTTCATTATTTCCGGGCATGAGTCTACATTTCACTCACTAATCTGCATTTTGCGCCATTTTCTTTCTAAACAGCCATTTACACATTTAACTTGTTTTTCCAAAACATATTCTAAAATAATACTCCCATAAAAATGCTCTATCCAAACTTATCGACGATCTGTTACCGGCCATGTTGGTTGTTAAATACCATGGACCCTCTGAAGCATTTGATTCATAGTTGCTTCATAACTTCCTCTATTATGCTCAGCCTATGCCCTTATTTCTCTAATAGCTATACGAATATTCTTTATCACTATAAGCATGGATTTTTCGGATATTTCGATTTTTTTGTCGTTCAGAGCTTGATCATAATATGTCTTAAAACCGATGCCGGTTTTCATTAAATAATCATTACACTGCTGCATTCGATAAAACCAACCAAACTAACCAAGCCACTTCGGACATTTCCGGGATTTTACCGCACGGATTTGGGAGCAATCGGATGTTTCCGGAGATATTTTCCACGCTTTGAATTTTGACGTTTGTCAATTCTGACGGCCATGTCAGTGAATGTATTCGTGTTGTTTTACGAAAATGTACCCAAAAACTAACGGTCGTAGAAAAAAATATAGTATGCAACACGTTTGGTGAACTTTTTAACTCACTCGTTTATTAAACACTCGCTCCGCTCGTGTCAAATAAACTCGTGAGTCAAATGCCGTTTACCGCACTTGTTGCATAATATATTATTCCCGAATCGATTCGGGCACCTCTAAAAAATGCCTTTTAAACGCATCAATCGCTTCTTCTGGAATCAAAAATCGTTGCCCATGTAATTTATTCTTAATGTATGGGAATAAAAAGAAGTCATTAGGTGCGAAATCAAGTGGATGGCTCATCAAATCAACGTTTTTATTGCTCAAAAATTTCTTTGTTTGCACTGATCGGTGAGAGCTAGCATTGACGTGGTGGAGAGTGGTTGGGTGGTTTTTCTAATGTTTTCGAAAGCTTTCAGCAAACAAATGAATAGGTACCATTCAGAATTAACTGTTTTACTTTTCACCAAACAGTTACAACGTGGTCAGTTTTCCTGAAAAAAACAACTTTTGTGGGCTTTGTCTCATTCTGAAAGACCCACACAGTCGACTGTTGCTTACTCTCAGGTTCATCTGCATAGATCCATGATTCATCACCTTTCATGATTTTATAGACGCGTTCGTATTTTTTTGGCATTTCCTTCGATCAATCAACACGAACATTTTTTTGAGCTGATGTCAAATTATGTCAAAAAATTGTATGTCTGCTGATCCCACTAATGCCCAAAGATACCTCAATCTCATGGTAAGTCACATGACGATGCTGCAAAATCAGTTTCCGCGCTGCCCCAATGTTTTCTTGCATAACCACCGATTTTGGACGACCTTCACGAAATTCATCCTTAAGAAAACTACGACCACTACTGAATTCCGAAAACCAGCGATAAACAGTAGTCCTAGATGGTGCTTTAACTGCAAAAGTCGAATTAAGTTCATCGATGCATTGTTGTTGATTTAAATTTAAAAAAATTATTGCACGGAAATCCTCCCGATTAAGTTCCATTTTTAACCATCACAGTTTTTTTAATTTATCCCAAAAAACACAAATAACACTCTTTTGCCAAAACCTAACTGAGTAAACCTGACCTCAAAATGTCAAACTTCCCTATAAAAAGGTTAGTCGCCAGATGACAGGACTAGTTTAAGAAAATCCCGAAATATAAAAGGCAGTTCTCGTAGAAGATATTTGTTACTAGTATTTTGTGGCAGTCCTACGCAGAATTAGTTTATGCACGCAATGTGAAGAGTAATAAAAAAAACCTCTCGACACTCCTGCAAAAAAAAAGCAACAGATGTTTTATGACCCATGTGGTTACACATTTGCATGCATAGAAAACTGAAGCCGGGGGCGAGGAACACTACTTTCATTTTTCATCTCCGCAACGATCTGAATAATAATTCTTCCACAGCCCTACCCAATAACAACGAAAAACGCGTGACTCAGCAAAAATTACGATTGCATCACAGCAATTTGGTAATGTGTGACTAAGCTAGACTAGGTAAACTTGCAATGCGCCCGATAAAGAGCTTCCGTCACACCTCTTCAGCTGCTGCTCAACACACACAAAATTAGATAAATATTAGAAGAAAAAATTTTAAACGTTCACCGGAAGTCTATTGTCCGCGGCTTTCCTTCGATCGAACACCATCTGCCAATAAAATCTCGTCCGCTAAACGTAATCTTTATATCATCTATAACGTAATCTTACCCGAACAGGCCCGCCCGATATTATCCATCATAGAAGACACTCTTTATTCGCTACAAGGAGATAATTTAACGCGCACTAAACGCGATTATAGGTCTCATTCTACACGGTCGTAATTATTTCTCGAGGCGTTCGTGAACTGTCAGGAAAGATTTGATAGGACAATGGTCCCTATACGCAAGAAAACCTGGTTATTATTACACCAACATTTAAGACAGATTAGACGTTTAATGACCCGTATTTTTTCATATATCGTTCTAATTGCAAAAAACCATAATATTTTTTTTGTATATCGTCAAATCCTGATAATTTTCTGCTATTTAATAAGAAAAAAAATGTTATTGTTCACTATCTCTATTTTAAGCTCTTTTCAAGATATTTACATTTTTAACTCGCTATGTGATACTATGTAGACAAGGATTATTTATTATTAAAAAATATGCAATTTTTTTGTAAAATCACAGAACCATATTAATTAATAAATAATTGCAAGATTATGTTCCCGGCTAGATCACTCATTACTACACAAACAACAATAAATCTCTACCATTCGGTGTTGCCAGATCGACCACATTATAATAGTAGAGCTTAAAGTTAAAATGTAGATATTCATGATACAACGAACAAAGATATCTGACAGTGAAAATCTCGTTTTTCTGTTTTTTGTTGTTTGAATTAGTAAT